GTATGTATGTATGTATATATATATATATATATATATATATATATATATATATATATATATATGTGTGTGTGTGTGTGTGTGTGTGTGTGTGTGTGTGTGTGTGTGTGTGTGTGTGTGTATGTATGTGTGTGTATGTGGTGTGTGTATGTATGTGTGTGTATGTATGTGTGTGTATGTATGTGTGTGTATATGTGTATGTAAGTGTGTGTATGTGTGTGCGTATGTGAGCGTATATGCGCGTATGAGTGCGCGCGCGCGCGCGCGCGCGTGTGTATGTGTATATGTGTGTGTGTGTGTGTGTGTATGTAAGTGCCCGCATGTGTCCTTCCCCCTACCCATCCCCCATCCCCCATCCTCACCGAAATCATAAGGCAGGTCGACGAGCTCAACGGTGGAGTAGGACCTCTTCCGGAAGTTCTTGTCCTGGCCCGATGAGATGTTGTCCCACAGGATCTCCACGTAGTTGTCGCGGTCGGGGCGGTTGTGCTCGTGGAAGAAGCCGAGGGAGTGGAGCAGCTCGTGGTAGATGGTGCCTTGGTCCCACCAGCGCACGCAGAAGAAGCCCAGGGACACCGGCTGCGCCGCCCACGCGCCCGATGTGGCTGTAGCATCTGCAGGAGAGGGGGAGTGGGGTAGGGGGGTGGGGTGGGAGTGGGGGGGGAGGGGGTTACGTGGGTGAGCAGAGATCGTGATACAGACACGTTGAGATTTTATTTATCTTTTTCTCTCTCTGTTTCACTTTCTCTCTCTCTCTCTCTGTTTTCTGTTCTCTTCTCTCCCTGTCTCTCTCTCTCTGTGTTTCTCTGTATCCCTCTCTCTCTCTTTTTGTCTTTCTCTCTCTCTCCCTTTCTTTCTCTCACACGCACACACACGCGAGCACAAAGGACAGGAAGTAACATTCTACTTTAAAAGAGGCTGATAGTCATGCATGGCACAGTAAGGCTTAAAATTCCCCTTCTCACAGAGGAACCCGACCGGACAAAAAGCCTTCACCCAAAAGACGGTTCGGCAAGGAGAGTAAAATTCCGAGACGGATCTGCAATACAAAGTCGGGATCGCGAAGTCGGTTGTCGGGGTCAGACGGAATGGAAATCTCCCTTCATCACGCCCACGGCCGAGCTAGGTACCAGAAGCGCAGAAACTTCATTTTATGTTCATCTGATACTTTCCTCATGCAGCAAGCAAGATGAACGACGTGCCCCCCCCCCTGTTTCTCTGTGTCTTTCTCTCTCTCTCTCTCTCTCTCTCTCCTTTCTCTCTCTCTCTCACGCTCACACACGCTCACACAAAGGACAGGAAGTAACATTCTACTTTAAGAGGCTGATAGTTATGCATGGCACAGAAAGACTTACGGAATGGAAATCTCCCTTCATCGCGTCCACGGCCGAGCTAGGTACCAGAAGCGCAGAAACTTCATTTATGTTCATCTGATACTTTCTTCATGCAGCGAGCAAGATGAACGACGTGCCCCCCCCCGACGTAACAGCTGGTGGTGAAGTTTCTACTCGCGGGGGAAGGGCCAAGGGAGCGTGGGTAAAAATAAAGACACGTGCACATCCATACACGCACACACACACATACGCGCATGTGTGTCTTGGCGTAAAAATACATACATAGATACAAATGTATGTGTACATACATAAATACATACATATATATTTACAGACTGATAGAGATATGCACACACGCACGCACGCACGCACACACACACACACACACACACACACACACACAACACACACACCACACACACAAGCACCGTGAAAGTTCTCAGTTCGAGGTCAAATAGCTATGGAAAAGCCGCTTTCTAACGCAATGGACATCAGATCTTCTAATGTTTATTTCTATTATTTTCTCCAATTTTAACGGCCGCATTTTCGCGCATATTCCGTAATGTCAGACAGGCTGCCGTCGGTTCGCATCCCACGCGCCTCATGAAACTCCCAGCCTCCACTTCTCCTTAGAAAAATAAAAATAAGAAAGAAGCGGCAGCACAGATAATAACCAGACTATATAAGAAAGATAGGAAAGCAAGTATCACACCGTTAAAAAAAAAAAAAAAAAATATGACGCAGAAAATTCGTACAGCGCCATCTATTGTTCAGATATCACACTATCCGTCAACTGTTGGGGCTCACGGACTTTTGCCATGCTTTCCTATCTTTCGTATAAAGTCTTTAATAATAATCAAAGACTACAAAAAGACAGGAAAGCAAGTATCACACCGTATAAAAAGAGACCTAAAACCATACAGCGCCATCTATTGGTCAGATATCACACACACCGTTAAAAAAATGAGGCTCAAAACAGTGCCATCTATTGTTCGGATATCACACTATCCGCCACCCGCCGGACTTTTGCTATGCTTCCCAATCTTTCGTAAATAGTCTTTGATAATAACCAAAGACAATATATAAAAAGATAGGAAAGCAAGTATCACACGTAAAAAAAAAAAAAAAAAAAAAAAATGAGGCCCAAAATTTCATACAGCGCCACCTATTGTTCAGATATCACACTATCCGCCGACCGCCGGACTTTTCCATGCTTTCCTATCTTTCGTAAACTGTCTTTGATAATAACCAAAGATTATCTAAAAGATGGGAAAGGAAGTATCACACGTAAAGAAGAAGAAAAAAAGGCCCAAAACATCATACAGCGCCATCTATTGTTCAGATATCACACTATCCGCCAACCGCTGGGGCTCACAGACTTTCGCCATGCTTTCCCATCTTTCGTAAATAGTCTTTGATAATAACTATAGACTAATATAAAAAAATGGTAAAGTAAGTATAACACCGTATAAAAAAAGAAAAAGAAAGAAAGAAAAGTGAGGCCCAAAAACATCATACAGCGCCATCTATTGTTCAGATCACACACACACCGTTGAAAAATGAGGCCCAAACCTTCACACAGCGCCATCTATTGTTCAGATATCAAACTATCCGCCAACCGCTGGAGCTCACAGACTTTCGCCATGCTTTCCTATCTTTCGTAAATAGTCTTTGATAATAACCAAAATATATATATATATATATATATATATATATATACATATATATATAAAGGAAAACATCACACCGTAAAAAAAAAAAAAAAAAGTGAGACCCAACCTTCATACAGTGCCATCTATTGTTCAGATATCACACTATCCGCCAACCGCTGGAGCTCACAGACTTTCGCCATGCTTTCCTATCTTTCGTAACTAGTCTTCAATAATAAAAGACTATATATAAAAAAAGATAGGAAAGCAAGTATCACACCGTATAAAAAAGAAAAAGAAAATACAGTGAGGCCCAAAACATCATACAGCGCCATCTATTGTTCAGATAATCACACTATCCGCCTACCGCCGGACTTTTGCCATGCTTTCCTATCTTTCGTAAACTGTCTTTGATAATAACCAAAGATTATCTAAAAAGATGGGAAAGCAAGTATCACACCGTAAGAAGAAGAAGAAGAAGAAGAGAAGAAGAAGAAAAAAAAAAAAAAAAGAAAAAAAAAAGCCCAAAACATCATACAGCGCCATCTATTGTTCAGATATCACACTATTCGCTAACCGCTGGGGCTCACAGACTTTCGCCATGCTTTCCTATCTTTCGTAAATAGTCTTTGATAATAACCAAAGACTATATAAAAAAGATAGGAAAGCAAGTATCACACCGTATAAAAAAAGAAAAGAAAAGAAAAAAAAGGAGGCCCAAAACATCATACAGCGCCATCTATTATTCAGATCACACACACACCGTTGAAAAAATGTGGCCCAAACCTTCATACAGCGCCATCTATTGTTCAGATATCACACTATCCGCCAACCGCTGGGGCTCACAGACTTTCGCCATGCTTTCCTATCTTTCGTAACTAGTCTTTCAATAATAACCAAAGCAATAAGGCTCAAAATATCACACCACGTGCTTCATAACGCGTCGTGAAAGTCCAGGAAATACCGAGGAGCTGAGACTTGCCTCTCGAGCAGAAGGTGAAAAGTGTGGAAGTTGCAGGTAATCAGAGAACGCTTTAATGGTAATAAGGGGACACTTTAATGGTAGGGCACTTTAATGGTAATCAGAGGACACTTTAATGGTAATCAGGGGACACTTTAATGGTAATCAGAGAACACTTTAAGGGTAACCAGGGGACACTTTAATGGTAATCAGAGACACTTTAATGGTATCAGAGGAGTACAGAGGGGACTAAGGGGACACTTAATGGTAATCAACCAAAGGCCACTTTAACGGTAATCAAAGGCACTTTACCGGTAACCAGAGGACACTTTAACGGTAACCAAGGCCACTTTTCTCCCGGCGGAAGGGAAGAAGCGGTCATGACGTTAGCAGGAACCCCCCCCTCCCCCCGGCAGCATGACTTTCACGCACGTACCCAGGACTGGCAATTGCGATCCGGAATTTTTCTGGTGTGCGTCTCATAAGCTTGCTAACATGAAGCACACATACATACATACACACTCACAAACACATATACACTACACGTACACACAACATACAATACAACAACACAGACCACATACAACACGCACACACATACACACACATACACACAGACACAAACACACAGATACAAACACAAACACACACAGATACAAACACAAAAGACACAGACACAACACAAACACACAGACAAACAAACACACACAACACATACAGACACACACAAAACACACACACACACATATACTAGAATAACAAATTTATCTCAAAATAATTAACCGATGAATTCGAGACGTCCAGATATCATATCTTTTGATCCTACCTTTTAATTAATTCGGTTTCAGGAATGTTTCTCCTATGTATGCAAGGCCAAGGTGAGGTGGAGGAATCTTTTCTTGTACGGTTATTTTTATTTATTTTATTGGTCACGGAAAATTCGCAGTGTTTTGGTTTAAAAAAATAATATGCTTCATGTATATATATATATATATATATATATATATATATATATATATATAAATATATACATATATATATATATATATATATAATTAA